AAATTGTTAGCTATATTGTTGCCACCACTGTTGCAAAGGATCTTTATTGGTGTCAGTCGGTGTTTGTGGAAGCAGCTGGTACTTTTGAAGCCACCAATGTTCATGAAAGTCATTTATTTGCAAGGGTTCTTAAGACGTTTTTGGATTATATAAGAGCAGAGAAGACCCATTAATAACATAAATGTATCACTGCAAGGTTGTAGTAGGTTTTCTGGAGTTGCATTGGACACTCTTAAAAGTTGTTCATGCACTTTTTTTAATACGAATATGGATACTTTAGTAACAACATGTGAGTAGAATAGTTTATTTTAAGCATGAGGAATTTGAATCATTTTCTGAGAAATTTTGGTTTGGATTTCTCGCTGTTGATTTTTCAATACAAGAGTAATTTTTTCATGAACAATACGAAGGTTACCAGTTAACACTTGAAGGTATTTCTTTAGTATCACATAGAATCTTTCTATCTGTGACGTTGTCACGTTATCTAAATACAACTAACGATTAGTTCAAAAGCTTACAAAATGCTTCTTAAATAGTAACTATATGTCCTGCAAATGTTCAATTATTGATGGCTTTTCATTATATATTCTTGTTAATTTCTTCCACTTTTTACTAAAATCTTCTTCCATTTTAGACTTTATAATGGTGGTCCAGCTTTTTAAAAAATTAGACAATTTTTCTGTAGAAAAATGATTATGACAATTGGCCAGTATATTTTTTTCAATATGCTATATACACAAAAAATTTTTTGATTCAAGAAAGATGACACGTATAGCATTTATCAATGCTAACTCTTAGTTGGTAACAATAACCTGAGGCCTTGGAATATCTTGGAAAATATGGGCAACACAAGTAAGTGCCTACTTATAATCTTTTTGTTGTTCTGATTTTATGAACGTGAAGCAGGAGAAGAATGTAGTATTAAAACTTGTTATACCAACAACATGAAAAAGTGGTATTTTAAATTTATTAGTTTTGTATATACAGTCCATTAAAAGTGTGAAATTGTAAGTTTTGGTAAGTAAAATAGACGTGCGATATGCAAAGAAGAGATGAGTTAAATGAACATTTGGATTACATTGATGATCATACTCAAAGTTTCCTTCTTTAAGCTCATCAAAAAGAGCCTGAAGTGGTGTGTGACCTTGAAAGTTATCATGTCTAATTTTATCATGAGTATTATAGATATCTTTTGATATTGCCGAAAGATCTGGATTGTTTTAACAAAGAGCTGAAAGCATCTTCCGAAGACAGATACCTGCTACAAACATTTGCTAAACCCTTTGTAGCTTTTTGGTGTTTAATTGATGACTTGATAAGTGCCCTGACATGTCTTCTGATATCTCATGATTGTAAATTGCATTATTTACTGTCAAATGCCATAGGCCATCTTTCATCTTCCTACTGTAGAGTTCAAATGGATACTCTATCAATTGTGTACTTGTTGCTCTTTGACAAGTTTCATCTATAAGATTTAAAGAGTTTCTATAGGTGCCACCCTATCACAGTATAAATAAATGAACTTGTCCCGTTCTGATCTTTTGATGCATACAGCATATCCTTGACTGGCTGCATAAATTTGGATGTGCTCAATAAGAGCTTTGTGGTTTGTAAAAGAACTAGTTAGAAGTAGAAGTAAAGGTATAGATTTTCAGATTATCAATAAGTCAAAGGGGTTTTTATTTATGATCTATTTTTACTATACTACTAATAAGAAAAAAAAGTTTTTTTTGTAGAACTACTTAGCGAATATACTTATAACAACCGATAATTTGTAATGTTAAATGCAAAGGCATATCCGATTTGGGGTATTGGTTTATAACCTTTATATCGATAATATTTCTAATTAGTTTGATATACTTCGTCCTTATATTTTGGGTTATAATATAAGGAATTCGAATGTAACAATATGATAATTATCAAGAGGGCGTGTATGATAAAAATAAGAGTTCCAAACAAATTTGATATACAATAACTTTTTATCAAAGAGAAAAAGATAATAAACTCAATATTATATTTGTATAAAATGATAATAAACTCAATATTATATTCGTATGAAATAAAAGAACCGATTTTAAAATAGTTTGAAATTTATTAAAGTCAACAAAACATGTTTAAATACATTTTCTATATAACCAAACTTTACATGCCGTTGCAATTCAAAATTCCTTCTTTCTACAATCTATTTGTCGCTTAACAATAACCCATTTAATTATCTAATTTGCACCCAAATCATACGATTTTAAACGTGTAATTATGTATCCCGCAACGACCCAGTAGGCTTTAAATCCAAATTCCAAATAAAGTGCAAACTAATTTATGCACAACTAATTCAAGCAAGGTCCAATAAAATAATCTTCTATATTAGATTGATTATGAATCCTGCTTCTACGCTCGCATTTACTTAATGTGTCCTCCTACATATAACAGTAACTGGTTAAATAATTGACTATACTGAATATAGAATAGTGACAAATGTAATATATTAATAACATAGGCAACAATGATTATAAAGTGGCAAAGTGTGCATAATACTTATTCTAGTGAAGTACTGTATATTTCCAAAAATAAGCTACTCTTTTTTGGACAATTTTGAATACAAAAAACCAATAGTAGCTTATTTTCGGATATAATCGATTTTTGCTTAATTCTGAAAAATTTTATTAAGCAAATTGATGATGTGTATTAAGTAAAGTTTGTTCAGGAGAACAAAATACACATATACTGAAAATTTCAAGTAAATCAGATAACTTTTATTAATTGACTTTTGATTTTTACGTTCAACGAATATGAATTTTAAAGAAATTTTAAAAAATTCGTCGAACGTAACAGGCAAAAACGTATTAATAAAAGGTTATTTAATTTGCATAAAACTTTTAAAATATATGTATTTTGATCTCCTGAACAACTTTTACTTAATAAGCTATGTCGATTTACTTAGTAAAATTTTGACTTTACTATAGGATAACTACTAGCGATCGTATAATAGCTTATTTTCGGGTATAAAAAGATTTTTTGATTTTTTTTTAAAAAAGGAAGGTAGCTTCTTTTAGATGTAGCTTATTTTCGGAAATATATGGTATATCTTAGATCTAACACCATGCGCGAAAGTAGATTTGAAGATGGAAATCCAACATGTTGTATTAGAGAATGAAAAGAATAGGAAAAACAATTAAATTAAAAATTATCATTGAATTAGTAAAAATAGAACAAAAATCTATTTGATCTTACATAAAGCCTTATCCTTGTTCAAAGTATCAAAAGATCCTAAAATAGGTTTATTGGTAAAACTTACAAAGGAGTAGTATTGTTATCCGAAAGAATCATTTTTTTATGCCTGTAAGTATAAGCAATTTTGCCGAAAATGCATTTTCACAATTCTGTTTGTTACCGAATTTGTTTCTAGGAATTTTAGTTGAGGTTTGCACGCTTCAGAATTAAGAATTCGTTATTACCATATAGCACTAATCTTCAGTCTACCAATTTCAGGAATTGACTTGTCATTCTGATGGTTTTTGATCTTAGAGTTAAAAAAAATCAGATTCATCCTAAAATTACAATATACAGTTTGACCTCTTTAAGTGCATACTCTCGGGACCACACTTTAACAACATGCATTTAGAGAATAATAAGAAAAAGTGCGTTGATAGAGGCCAAGTATATATTTGGACCAGAATTTAACTGTGTATTTAGAGAGTATGCATATTTATAGAGAATGCACTTAGAGAGGTCTGACTGTAGAAGCTTTTGTTTTTAGTATACATTTTTCTTTGGTTTATTCGCTAGCTACATTAACAAGTCTAGACAATATTCGGATTTTTTTGTTAGTTAAAGTAATGTGAAAACCAAACTCTAACAAATTTCTTTATAGACGTGTAGATCGAAGCTTGTACTTTTCTCGTTATTAATTCACTTTCAAGTTCTTTAAGTTCTTAAACTGTGGATTCTATATTAAACTTGAGTGCCGCACTGCATTGATTAAAGATCTGGGTCTAAACCAAAATACCTAAGAAGCTTATAAAATACCCGAGTATATTGTACAGTAAAAGATCACCATTACAAGCTAGAAAAGTTTCAAATGCATACATGTTCTTCATTTATGGTATGTAGTTTAAAATTTTAAAAAGGGTTGCTCATAGCTAATGAAATTAAAAAAGGCTATGTGATTTTAACCTAGGTATTTTCTTAAGAGATATAATAATTTGAATATAGTATGATAGTTCTTTATAATGTGAGATATATGTACGTACTTATGTATGTATATTCTACTTTTAAGTGATAATCTAAATAAATTCATAATTAGTAACATGTGTGATTTAATTGAATGATTATTAAAATTATTGGTTGGCATATGTAATATAATCGAATGAATTGACATTATGCATAATCCATGGTGCAAATAGCAAAAATCCATGGTGCAAATAGCAATTTCCTAAATAAAAAGGCTTCTAATTTCATATTATAGAATATTTTAACCAAAAACAGTGAATACAATAAAGTTATATTATAGATCATTTGACCAAAAACCATAAATACAATAAAGCTATGATTAATAATTTCTTTTCTAATTAGCAATTTTGAAGTTAGTTTCAGAACTAATTCACAAATTTAGCATAGATCCTAATATAATAGTAAATCATTCTATTAACATTTCTATTATTAACCGATTTTTGATTTAAAATTTTCAAGATCAATTCTAATAGAATTTTATATCTTGCTTCCTTTAATAGTAGATTGCTATATATATGGGTCAACTATTTTGCTAAAAAAGTTGTCCACTTTAGGTTAAGCTTAGATTGATTAGTAGTTAATGTTTGCCAAAGGTATATAAATTGTTGATAGATTCTACTAAATTAAATTAATCCAAATTGCCATATGTCTATTATTGAGAAATATATATAATTATATAATTGTCGAATTTTTTGAATATAGATCTTATAAGATTGCCACTAGAGAACTAGCAAAAACTGAATGAGGACCGGTGTATAGCAAGGCACCCCACCAACTAGGCCGCTGGGACTGAGTCTGTCGGAACCAGAGGAAAAGGATTTGCTTAGTTGCAGATACCAGGGGGAAAATCCCTTCTGGGCCATCTGGATTGGTAGTTTGGGATAGTTAGAGATATGGTTGACAGTCTGTATAGTGGGTACTAGGGTTTGGGTGAACTCTACAAGGGGTAGTAGATAACTGTAGCGGCTTTGGCTTGCAAGTACTTGTCTTCGGACTCGGCGTAAGTT